TCATAATCTCACAAAACATCAAGGTACACATAGTTCCAAAGAATGGGTAAATGGAAATATTACTCCAGTTGGTAATGATGTAGGAAAACAGCAATCAAGTCTACGAAAAAAAATTGCAAAACATAAATCTTCACAAACTCATTTAAATGCTGAACGTACTTATGAAAAACAGTTAATGGAAATTATGCCAGCCCAAGTATTGAAAACTACTAACATAGACATTGAAAGTACAAAAAGAATTTTTAGAACTGCGTATTCCATCGCGAAGAATCAAAGGCCGTATGTTGACATGCCAAAACTAGTGGACCTTCAAATAATGAATGGTCTATCTATGGGGAGAGTTCTTCAAACCAATAAGTCATGTAGTACTATTATTGACCATATATGTTTTGAAATGAGAAAAAAATTGTGTTCTGACTTATTAGAAAATAAAAGAAAGATTTGTATAATTGTTGATGAATCTACAACATTGAGTCAGAAAACTATGCTAGTTATCTGTTTGAGAGCTGCTGTAGTAAATAATAATGAAGTTATTACATTTTTCTTTAACATCATTGAAGTAGAAAGTACATCTGCTGACTGTATTAGGAAAGCTATTTTAGTTGATCTTTCAAAGTATGGATTAAATGAGGATTTTTTAAAAGAAAACTTGATAGCTTTTGTTAGCGATGGTGCGTCTAATATGCTGGGTAGAATTTCTGGTGTTGGTACTCAACTACAAAAAACATTCCCCGATATTATAGTATGGCATTGCTGTAATCATCGTTTAGAGTTGGCCGTATCTGATACTTTAAAAGAAATCCATGGTACAAATCACTTCCAATCATTTATAGAAAAGTTATATGCAATATACCACCAATCACCTAAGAATATGTATGAACTTAGGATGTGTGCTACTTCATTAGAACAAAAATTACTACATATTGGAAAAATTTTTACAATCAGGTGGGTGGCATCCAGCAAGACAACTTTAAAAGCTGTTTGGAACAATTATGTAGCATTGTATAACCATTTTACAAATGCTTCTAATGATACAAAGAGAGAATCAAAAGAAAGATCCAAGTATATAGGACTCAGACGAATTCTAACAGCAGTAGAATTTGTTATCAACCTAGGTAAGTAGTTGTGTTGCTATAATTATTTATATTAATTGTATTATATTGTAATATTACATCAATTAAATATATTAAATTATATTATTAGTTACTTAAATATAGTTT